AGAATTTTGATTATTTGTATAAGGTGAAGCTAGTATAAAAGTATTATTATTTCTCATAATGTCATATACACCATAGATGTTTGTAATAAAAGGTCCCGGTTGCACCAAATCAGCTAGAATGTTATTTTCATCATAAGCAAAAATATAATGATAACTTATATTACTATTGTTATAAGCATTATTGTCCAATATATAGCCACCGAACGGCATTGCTTTCATTCTCCAACCTATTGCAGGCACAGTTGTATTAGCGAAAAAAGGGAGGATATCGGTGATTACATTCGATGACAACACCAAACCCGACGACAGGAAGTTAACTCTTATAAAATATGTCCTATTTGATAAGTTGCTTGTTATATTGTTTGCTATACTTGAGGTGTTTGTTATACCTGGGGTGTTTGTTATACTTGAGGTATTTGTTGTGCTTGAGGAATCGATAACCATTGTACAAGCATGACCCAAACCAACAGATACTAAATCACAATAAAGTCCCGTAATGTTTACTTTTTGACTTAGTTCATAAAGAATAGCCACTCTTCCATTAGATGTTTGATTATATGACACGAATTTAGCATTCAACGTGCACTTTATGGCTAATAATTCGTTTTCTTTATCAGAACAAATGGCGTAAAATATACCATAACCACTATTAACAGTAGAAATTGCCGCGATTTGAATTGAGGTAAAACTTGGAAGTGTAAAATTCTCATTCGTAAGCATTGTTAAATTTCCGGAATTATCACTATATATTTATAATAATCGATTATTAATACAATAATAATAATAGTTATAATAATAATAAATATTCGAAAGGTTAAATTACACTGAATATTGCTGAAATTCTATCCATTGCGATGTGCCGTTGCCTACAGCAGCATATCGAAGAAATCCGAGTCTTTGATTTATATTTAATACAATTTTACTATATGGAGTCCAAACACCTTGAGGATTAATATAAGACGGACCATAACGTATGTTACTGGTGATTTATAAAATTATAAACAATTAATAAATTTGATATAATCTTTATATAAGACAAAGTATTATTGTCAAACGCACCTTAAATTTTTGCCACTCCAGTCAATGACTTGTCCCCACTCCTCATAAGTTTTAGGATCAGAAGAGTTTTTGGCTTTGTAATAATTCATTAGAATGAACGGTTGTTGCAAAGGGTATATTACAATAGGATTCACTAAAACTCCATATATGTTTTCAAAAAGACAATAATTCAAAGAATCCATATCTAAATTTGCATTAATTTCAATAACAGATCCGTTTAATTGAATAACTCTTATACGCAATATCGGTTCTAAACTATGTCCAGAGCAATTGGCTTGTTGTATACCGTCTCGTATTAGATGGACGAGAGTTGTCCCATCATCATAAGTTCGAATTTTTACCACTTCAGGTGCATTTTGAGGGAATTTAGTATCCGTTGTGTTTTCTGTGTAGTTAAAGAAGGTCAATTGCGATTTCGTTGATGTTATAAATAAGCAAAACGATATTATAAATAAATATCGTGTTATAATGTTGTAGAATAATTTCATTGCGAATTGCTTTTATTCCTGATTGTTAATATTTTTACAACAAAGACGAAAAAAAATAAAATTTAAAAATCGTATATGCCGGGTGTTCTAAAAATCATTAAACAGTCCCTGTTTTTTTTTTAGTAACCCATACGACAAGATGATAATTAATAATATTTATCATTGTGATTTCCACGTACATAGGGTCACTAAAAAAAAAAAAAAAAAAAAAAAAATATATATATATATATATATATATATGAAATCGGATTATTGTGAAATTTGGGGTCTCAATTTGAAAATATAGGCCCTACCAAAATCCACCAATACTCTTT